CCCCCCCCCCCCCAGCCACTGCTGCTGGGGGGACACGGTCCTGGACCCTGCATGGCACCATGGGGACCCCCAGCACCACAAGCCCATCTTGGGGTGCATAGGCATCATCACCCTAGCACAGGTGCCATGCTCCCCAGCTTTGAGGATGCGCAGACACACTGGCACGGGTGATAACTGCCTCCCCCGGCACCCCAGGTCGATAACCGGGCGGCCGAGGCACTTGGTGGGGCGTGGGGGCACGCCAATGGACGCTCGCAGCGACAGGAGAGGGAGGGGAGTGCCGAAGGCTGCTGGTTAAAATGGAACAAGGCGCGGCGGCCTCCCTGCGGTCCCTGCCCTGGGGACTCTGACCCCGTGGGCCAGCGAGGGGAGCCGAGGCAGGCAGTGCTGAGCAGCTCCACAGCCGCCAGGACGGAGCTGAGGAGGAGTAGAGCAGGATGGATCCCACCATGGAGCTGGCAGAAGACCCCAGGTGGGTGCTGAGGACCCCTGTGCTGCTTCGCAGCCAGGCAAATCCCTTTTTGGAGCAGGATTTTGGGTTATTGCCTCTGTAAAGGAAAGGAGGTGCCTGGGGCTGAGGCAAGGTGGCCAGGGGACCCCACAGGGCTGGGTGTCCCCATGTCCCTGCCAGCCCTGTACAGTGCTCTCCTCCTTCTCCGAAGGTTCTCCCGATCGTTGGTGGAGATGCTGATCACAAACTTCAGCGTGCCGGCAGCCTGCTTCTCCCTGCCGCCCACCTCCCAGCAGCTGCTGCAGCGTAGGTGGAGGGACCGGGTGGGGGGACCCTCCTCTTGCCCCTGGCGGGAGCAGGACAGGGATGAAGGACGCAGGGTGGCTGCAGCAGATGCAGGCAGGGAGCAGCTCCAAGGAAGGAGGAGGCAGCAAGAGGGGGAGGTAGCAAGGGGGAGTCTGCTGGGGTCTCAGCCTCCCACCCCATAGCCCTGCCTGCGGGAACAGGGGAGGGTCTCAGAGAAGACCAAACTGGGGCAGGTGACACGGGACACAGGAGTTCTGGCACGGCCAGACATGCTGAGGATGCGGCAAGGGGTTTCCCAGACCTGTGGAGTGGTGGGTTGGGTGGCAGCTCCCTGCCGTGGTGGTCCCAGGTGGGACAGGAGGGGATGGAGCTGGCTTCTTACCCCTCCTCAACAGACCTGGACGCAGTCCAACTCACCATCATGGGCCTCGCCACCATCATGACTCTGCTGTCAGTTGTCATCTATGTGGAAGAGGCTTTCTACCTCACCTGCAAGATCCGCTGCCCCATCAAGATGAAGACCCTCCGCTGGAGTAGCTTGGCCCCGACAGTGAGCTGGGGTGTAGGGGTGGGGATGGCATCACCCCAGGGAGCCAGGGCTACCCAAGGGGTGCCAGCCCATGGGAGGGGGGAGTGGCAGCATGCAAAGCCTGTGTCTCCCAGGTTGTGTGTGTGGTCAGCTGCTTCGGACTGTGGATCCCGCGCTCCATGATGGTGGTGGAGATGGCTACCACAGCGTGAGTATCGCCTGCCCCAAGGCAGGGGCACCGGGGAGCCTATGGGGCCTGACCTGCCTTCCATCTCCTCAGGTATTTTGCCATCTGCTTCTACCTCCTGATGCTGGTCATGGTGGAGGGCTTTGGGGGGAAGGAGGCAGTGCTCAGCACCCTGAAGGACGTGCCCATGGTGGTCAGCACCGGGCCCTGCTGCTGCTGCTGCCCCTGTCTGCCCCGAATGACCATGAGCAGGTGAGGGAGAGCCTGGGGAACCCCCTGCCCCTGGGGAGGGCTTCCAGCCCCTGCTTCTGTTGGGGTGGAAGAAAAGTCCTGGGGCAGGGGCTTGGGGACCTCAAGGTGCTACTGGTCTCTCTCGCTGTGCCAGGAGAAAGCTTCAACTGCTGATGCTGGGGACTTTCCAGTACGCCTTCTGCAGGGTGGTTGCCGTCTTCCTGGGGCTGGTCCTGGCCACTGATGGGAACTACAACCCTGCTGATGTGAGTGCCAGGGCACGGGGATGGGCAGGGTGACATCAGGGACAAGGAGCCTCCACAAGCCCCTGCCTTGCCCAGCAGCTTTTTCAGCCCAGGCACGTTTTCTTTGTGTCCCCCCCAGATCTCGGCAGAGAGCGTGGCGCTCTGGATCAACACCGTGGTTGGCGCCTCCACCCTCTTTGGGCTGTGGGCACTGGGCATCCTCTTCCGGCAGGCCCGGCTGCACCTGACCGAGCAGAACATCAAGGCCAAGTTCTCCTGCTTCCAGGTGAGCCACATCCTGCCCCGTCCCCCCCTAGGTGAGGGGCTCCTCCAGCATGAACGGGATGAAGGGGCACAGGGGGAGATGGTGGGGCAGGAGCTGCTGGGAAAGCGGAGAAGGTGAAGGGCAGGAGCCTGGCAGCAGTGTGGCCCCACCACCTCAAATGTTGGTGGTTGCAGGTCCTCCTCCTCCTGACGGCACTGCAGCCCGCCATCTTCAGTATCCTGGCCAACAACGGCAGCATTGCCTGCTCACCACCCTTCTCCTCCAAGGCCAGGTCACAGCGTAAGTCGGGAGAGCGGGGAGCAGCGTCGCCTGCTCCCAGCTGAGCCCCTCCATCACACAGCAGGGTGTGGGGAACGGGCATGGTGGATGAAGGTGGCTTCAAATGACCCTTCTCCTCTTCCAGAGATGAACATGCAGCTGTTGATCCCGCAAACCTTCATCTTGGCGGTGGTGACACGGATATACTACCGCAAGCAGGATGACAAGCCGGGCTACCAGCCCGTCAGCTTCACACCTGCAGACACTGATGTCAAGGCGTGAGCAGGAGGGAGCAAAGGGGGTGCTGAGGGGCAGAGCGAGGCAAGGGGCTGCTCTGCCCCATACAACCACCTCCTCCTCTGGCCCTGTGGAGCTGCTGGCAACAGAGGAGGCAGAGGGGGAAAGGGCACTTCAGCATGGGGTGAAAGGTTCTGAAACCTGAAGGCCACAATCCAAAGTGATCCGTGAAGCCACCTCCAGCCCAGGGGGTTCTTGTCTAGCACTGAATAAAGACAAATTTCTATCCGAGTCTTGCGTGGATGACTGGGCTCAGACCGTCTCCTGCCCAGGCTGGGTGGGAGATGACTCCACACAGGGGGAGGAAGATGGAGCCCAGACAAGCACAGCCACGGCATGGGGCCATCATGGGTGTCCAACACGCAGCCATGACACTGACCTCTGGGTGCTGCTGGCTGGGGTCCGATGGCCAAGGCAATGCCAGGGCAGCAGTGTTTTCTTCAGAGACCTCTAGATGGGTCCAGCCCATCCCTGGGGCAT